GGCCCTTCAGGATGAACCACCCAAGTAGGTGGTTCTTTTTTGGTGCGGGTTTTGGCCGGGAGGGGCGGATTGGGAATGGGTGCAGCACGATTCCCAGATGTTGCTGTGGGATCGCGCCCGTTTGCTGCGGCCCCGATCCGTCCCTCTCCCGGTCCAAAACCTCTCATGCGAACAGGGCCTTATAAAAAACAAAGGTGCTGAATACATGCTTCAGTGGATAAAAATGCCAGAAAAGAGGTTTGTTTGTTTTTTAAATGCAGGAGCCTACTAGCAAAAATCTGTCAGAGTCAGATATAAGGAGCAAGGCAAATCAGTGCTCACCCCACAGCAGAGAACTGTGACCTGTCCTTCACTTTGTCATAATGAAGGGACTTCCTGGTGTTGCCTGGAATAAAGGAGGACATGGCCACCAATTCCTATGATGCATCATACTTATGTTTAAGGGGATATCTGGCATGCTACATGAATTATTACAGCCTGGTCTTTTAAAAAATAGACATCTGTTAAATAAGTGGGTATTTTGTTTACCCCACTGATAGTTCTAACCACCATCAACAAACTTTCGATTCCCAGTTCTAATCATAGAGGCAAGGCACGGACCCATAGCATCATTCTCTAGCTGCTGGGACTTGTCCCTGAGAGCCAGCTAGGGCTCCAGAGGTCTCTTTTGGCACAGAATGGAAAAAGGAAGTGACACCAGTCCCTGAGATTGGCAAGCAGTATGAGACAAGCAGATTGGGCAAGACTGTCCTTTCCCCCATAACCTCTTGTCTGCAGTGCTTGCAGTGTTGCCTCCACACCACTCCTGGCCACAGGGAAGCATGCTCTGGGTCTGCATCTTGATGTGGCTAGCTGCCCGTGGCTGCGCCCTGAGAGCTAGTGGAGAGGAGTCACCAAACAGTTGTTTGTAATTGGCTTCCTAGTCAGCTATCTTAGCACAGGCACCAAGCACCAGCAGACTGAATATCCTGGACCTTGTCTATCTCATCCCAAAATGCTTCTTACGTATTAGGAACGTGGTACACTGGCCAAACCCTTCTGTGCTGTTTCTGCTGTGGGGAAAAGACAGTCACTGTGGTGCATGATTTATTCTTTTAGAAGTACTGTACTGCATTTCTTTTCTTTTTTTGTAGAGAGCTGGTCCTTCTGTTCCTTCCTAGAGGCTGGATGACTGTGGTGGAGGGGGGTGCATTCATTCATGAGATCACTTATTGATGACCAGTTCTATACCTGGGAGGCCCTTTAAAAGGAAGTGCCAAGAAGTCTTCATGCAAATACACACATACCTCCTTGCACAATATAAGAGTACATGGGTTAGGTGTGTGGTCTGTTTCCCAGCTTGAAACAGTCCTGGCTGTGGGGACTACTGGGGCTGTTGAGGAGGCCCATGTGTGTCCCAGGGAATGTATGAGTTCCCCCAAATAGTGCCCTCTGGGACTGGAGAGGAGACTTGAAACCCTTTATCTACCTGTACTGTGGTACTCATCCTAATTGGGCACCACACAAATTGGAAATTGAGGAAAACCTGCAACTCATGTGTGATTGTATCTGACACAAGGCTGGGACCCGATACCTAACCTGTATACTCTGCATTATTCTCTGCAATGTGCACCTGCTCTAACACCTCCTACTCTGCCCATAAACATTTATTCTGATATATATCTGCTTGCAGTACCAGGTGTAATAGCATGATGAGAGGCTTTAAAAACCTGGCTGAATATATGATCCTCAAGGAAGTTAATCAAATCCTTCAGGAATATGACAAATTGGTAACGTACACATGTGGCCAGATGTTTCAGTCACCTCTCTCCAGCCCTCAGAGCCTTCCTGCCTTTGCTGCTCTGGCTATAGCTCCTCCTTCAGGGTGTGGAAGTGATAACTAAAAATACCCTCTGTCCAGAAACAGGTGGCCAAGCTTAAACTCAGCAGCTGGGTATTCGTGATCTTGGGGGTTTCTGCCTCTGTGCGGAATGATAGTGAGACCTTGACAGCTCCCTTCCCTCAGCAGCACTTAAGGGAGGAGTCCTTAGCTTAAAATGAGTCTAGGCACTTGGGGGGAGCGCCTGGCTGCATCCTGTGCAGATATGTGTCAAATGATAAGTGATTTTTCGGAGTCCCAATTAAGTGATTATTCTGATCTGTTTTGTGATATGGTTTAGATGGCCAGAATCAGATCATCCTGTTATCAGATGTGGTCTGAGGACTGTCCCCATGGTACAAGGAGGACCAAAGTGGCATGGCTGCTATCCCAAGGCTGGGCTTCGAGAAACACCGCAGATATCCTGAGTGACCCTTCCATGCCCCCTTTATTCCGCCCCCCTCTTTCCCCCACCACCACTCACACAGGCAAACCTACATGAGCATTAAGTGTAATGACAGAATGGAATGGTGCTTATTAAAACAGACAATTGGGGAACTATGCAGATGTCATCTTTTTCTGTCCCCCATGATTTCTGTCCATTTGGGTTTTGTTTTGTTTTTAGATCCAATTTGATGGGCACAAGGTTTACGGTGTTTGATAACGGTGTAAATCCTGACAGAGCAAACTCTGATTGGTCAAACGTGCGCCAGGAGCTTGCAGCAGTTATTTATGTAAGTGACCAACCTGTGAATTTCTTTTCTCCAGCTGCAGTCTGAGCAGCCCCCTTGCAGCCACTAGACTTGTCTGTCTGCCTCCCACATTTTTATTCTGCTCTTCCTCCAAAGAGCTCAGAGTGATGTACATGGTGATCATCACCTCCATTCTACCATGACATCCCTTTGAGGTAGATTAGGCCGAGAATGACTGACCCAGGTCACCCAGTGTATTTCAGGATGATGCATGCAACCAGCTTACACATTACAGAGTGCACAGGTTAGGTCCAGGTCCCCACTGTGTCTTGTGTAACGGGAATTGTGGGTTCTCCTCTTAGTTGCTGCATGTGCAGTGCCTGATTCAGATCATGAATATGGTGCGTGTGAAGAAGGGGCTTCAGCCTTCTCCCATACCCTGCATGATTCTCCCAACCTGAAATGGGCCCTTGTGGGGTGCTGTTGGGCCACATGTACACTGATGGGTTTCCCAACAGGCTCAGAATCATTTCAGGTCCAGAAATGGTTGTGTGGGTGGGAATGGGTGGGTGGGAATGGGTGAAGCCCATTCTCTCCGTGAGCTGCAGTCACAATCTGAATCAGGCACCACATGCTCAGGAACTGAGGTGAACGCGACTCAAGTCTGACTCTTACACAAGGGATAGGATGGGGATCCCCAATCTAGCCTTTGTGCTCTGTAATGTGTAAACTAGCACCTAGAGGGGATTTAAAAAAAACCCAATGTTATTATTTTCAATAACAATAGCAACAGCGTGTAATACTAACAATAAAAAGAGGGGACTTGAACTCAGGTCTTCCCAGTATACCACACTGGCTTTCTATTTTTGTAACTCGTGGGTATATCTGTACCACAGGAATTTTGAGCACTTTCAGCACATTGTAAAAACTGTTCCCTGAATGGAACAAGGCCATAAGGTCCATCCAGATGGTCAGTCAGAGCATACTCTGAATCACAGGCAATACACAGTGGCCACTCTACAGGGTGTAACCTTGGGGAGGGGGGCAACCATGCCTGCTATCTTTTTTCTAAGTCAGAGGAGAAATGCACTTCTGTTGACAAAGGAGAATCCAGACTTTCAAGAGGCATGCTTTGTGTTATTGTTCTTACGGCTTTATTATGACATCTGTGTAGAATTTGTACATTCCTTTATTTTATAAATACATATTTTATTTATAGCTGAGGCGTCCAAAAAGATTGACTAAAAGATAAAGCAAAAAACCCCCCAACTATAAATATCACAAAAATACAATTAGTTTAATCAAACAGCAAAACTATTTGTTCTATAAAATATCTGTTGGCACTCTGCGCAACAACATTCTATCTGAAGAGCCAGATCTTAATCAATCTCCTTAATTTCAATGAGGAATGAGCTTGACAAGCCTTTCTAGATGGTAATTTCTGCAACAGCAAGGAGCCCCTGTTTCCTGTGACCATTTATCATATATCCATAGTCAAGGACATTATAAGCAGGACCTCTGCAAAAGATTTTAAAACACGTGTAAATATTACGAGGTGGTGGTTATTCTTGCCTTTGAAATGTGCCCAGAAACTGGAAGCCAGTGTAATCCTTTGAGAATTGGTATTATATATTCTTTGCAACCCTTTCTAGCAGGCTACCTGGTCACCATAGTCTGGAGAAGCTGAAGTTTCCAAATATTTATCAAAAGCAGTCACAGTCATATCTTATTATTTTAAACACAGAACTTTTCCAAGCCTGCATACTTCTTTAGCATCAGTACAATGAAGTGTAGTGCCCAGGGCTTTTTTGTAGAAAAAGCTCAGCAGAAACTCATTAGCATAATAGGCCACACCCAACAGCAGAAACCTATTCCTGTGCGTTCCTGCCCAAAAATAGCCCTGGTAGTGCCCCAACTGTTATGCACCCTTTGAAATTAAAAGCAAAACAAAACATGAATCTGTATCTGCAGATAGGTGAAGTGAAGGTTAGAGCTGAAGGAAGTGTTGCCTTACACCCTTATCCCCTTCACACTGACCTGGATTTTCCCATGTTTATGATGAGGTAGACTCCCCCTTCTAGAAGCCATGTGGATTACCTCCATATGCATGGGTAGTGCCTCTTATATTATCATGTCCTGTTCAAGACCTGCTCTGTTCTTTAGGCAAAAAGGTAAGAACATAGAGATATGAGCTGTCTGTGCCTGCAGGTCACAGGACACGGAGAAAAAAGGTCATCATCATCATTAATATTAATTAAATAATCTGGTCATCATTATCATCAGCATTATATCATCACCGCTGATGCACATGGTGTTTTACAGTGCAAAAGATCACTGCCTTGAGGAGCCTTAAAACTGTAAGGACAGAAGTGCAGGCAGAGACAGAGAAGGGAGGGGATGTGTATTCATTCCAGTTACACATTCTTAGGCTTACTTTTAAAAGGGTATGAGAGGGGTTGTACCAAAGACTCCATGGGAAAAGTCTGTTTTGAGAAGAAAATTGAAGGAAGTGAGAGGGGCAATCCAAGAAGCAACTCATGGCTACAAGGGAAAAGATGGAGTGGTTTGAGAGAAAATAATACTTTGGGACAGCTGAGGGCGGTGGAGCTGGAGGACTGAAGGGAGGAATAGAGGAGCAGAAAAATGGAGGGGGGGCTACACCGACAGAACAATGAGATGGGTGAAAGATTTAGCTGCAGTGCAGAATCATTATTGTTTAATTGGTGAGAGGCTGAGTATTGGGTTCACAGCTGCTGTGTAGGGATGGGCACAAACTGGCTCACGAACTAAAGTTCATGAAAGGTCAGCCCACATTACCTTCCTATGAACTTTGAAGCTGTTCCTGGAGGTTCCTTGGGGTTCCTTCATGAGTGGATACATTTCCCAACAGACTATCTCAGCTCAATCAATCAAGTTGTTTACCACACTTCAAAGCAAAAGGGAGATGGAAGTTTCCCTGTGAGTTTGGTGTCAACTGGCTTGTTTCTGAGCCGTTCCATAGAATCCTGTAATGGAAGCAATGCAAGCAAAAGAGGATTAATGTCAAACCACAGAATCCCTGTAGTACAAACTGATGGGGGGGGTATTTTTCAAGCACAGTACAGCCAGCTCAGTGTACAGAACACCCATCAGATTCCAGTACCACTCTGGCAATGGAAGCTTAAAATAACCAATTGATCATCAAACTATAGTTTGTCCCAAGAAATCCAAGTGTGTTTGTGTGTGTGTGTGGGGGGGATTTTGCAAGTCCAGCATAATCAGTTCAGTGTACAGAATGCCCAGCAAAATCTAGTACCACCATGGCAATGCAAACTTAAAAGGACTGATCGATCTCAAAGCAATGTCACAAAAAATCCAAGTGAGGGGGGGGGGTATTTTGCAAGCACTGTGCAAGAAAATGGGAACACAAAGGAACACCAGCAAAAGGGGGGGACCATTTTGAAACTGACAAGAGTCATCTGAAACTTACAAGAGCAGCAGAGAAAGGGGGGGAGAACCCACCTGTCATTTTCCCCAGAAAGCAGTTTCCTGGGGGCACCTTCTTTGGGGGCTGTAACTCGGATCCCGTAAATCTAATTGTCACCAAACTTGGAGGGCAGGTAGAGGAGAGTTAGCCAGAGATCCCCTGTGAGTTTTGTGTCTCTAACATACCGGGGGGGGGAGAGGTGTTCTACTGGGTCATGAACCTCATGAATTGAACCAGTTCGTTTGATTCCTAAATGTTCATGATGGTCCATGGTTCACAAACTGGGCACACCATGAACCGAACCACATTTTCCTGGTTTGTGCCCTTCCCTACTGCTGTTGGATGGAATAGCTGCTTCAAACTATTAAGAATCAGTTTGTGCTTGGGATATTGATACACAAGTTCTTGATTATTTGGGGGGGGTTTCTGTTTCAGGAAACAAATGTATTGGGATTCAAGGGACCTCGAAAAATGACTGTGGTCATCCCTGGAATGAATTCAGACAATGAAAGGGTTCCAATCCGACCCCGAAATGTAAGTCACTGACAGTGTCTTTACTAAAGATACAGGTTCATTTTGAGTAACTTCAGTGTATGATGCTGCATATTGGCAAAGCACACAATAATAAATGGCAAATGTGAGAAGACCTCAGAATGACATGGGATCAATCAAACTCATGCTTTACCCTACACCTCCAGAGTGAGTTCCTAATTTAAAGAGGAAGATCATACACAGAAGCCAAGAGAAATGGAGAACATGCTCCCAAGGTCCAGCCTTACCAATGGGCTCAGCCACTAGCAATTGTGAAGTGTGAAAAGGGAGAGCAGTTCCTGATCAAATGAGACAGAGCTTCTGTGGAACAATGGCAAGGTAGCCAACTTTTCCAGTCTCAGCACTCTTGTGTTGCAAGGATATAATAGAATTCACATGACAGGAAGAAAGGAGCAGAGTTATGACTTCACTTCTGTCAAGGCTAGGACCATAGGTAGCAGACCAAAAGGGACATAAAACAAAGTAAGGATGGACATGAACCAGCTGACAAACTAAAGTTCATCATGAATTTTGGCTGGTTTGTGATTTGTGAAGCAGTGTTCATGAACTGAAGAACCCACGAACTTTCACAAATTTTAATACAGTTCATGGCAGTTTGTGAAAAGCAGAATGCAGGCGTTTAAGCCCCTGCTTTCTGCTGTTCACGAAAAACAGCTGGCTCAACTATTTGGTTTAAATGGCTCCAATCCTGGGGCTGGCTGCTCAAGGGAGCCCCTTTAAACAACTGAGCCATGTGGAACAAGCTGCCCCGTGGCTCAGCTGTTTAGATCAGAAACAGCTGAGCCACAGGGGCAGGCTGCTCCCACAGCTCAGCTGTTTGGAGCCAGAAACAACTGAGCTGCAGGAGCAGGCTGCCCCGGCGGCTCAGCTGTTTTGGGTATGAACCTCATAAACCTGGTTTGGTTCATATGTGAGCCGACTGGGTTTGTGGGGTTCATGATTCACCCATGAGCCACAAACCAAACCACATTTTTGGGGTTTGTGCCCATCTGTAACCAGGAATTGTACTGTAGATGGGGGACAAAAAAAAAGATCAGAGCCATGGAGGAATCCTCTCTGCCTCTGTGACCTCGCCTGCTGCTCCTTTGCTTGCTTGACTATAGAGATAGGAGGCATGGCACCCTTGCTTTCTATGCATATGCACTAAAATAGGATCTTCCAACAGGCAGCAAAAAAAAATGCTGATTTTACAGGGATTTGCCACCTAGCATATGGGACTGAAGATCTGCCTGAGGATTCTGACCCATGGGTTGAAAACCTCTGGGCTATTGCATTAGTCTTAGATATCAGAGACCCAAGTTTGAATCCCCATTTAATTTCCTCCCGATGGTATGAACCAGTGTGGAAATACTGATCATCCTAGCAGTTCCTTGTTTAAGTTCCCTTATGCAGGGAAGTGTGGTTGATCATGGCCTAGTCTTGAGTTTTTCCTTTGGTGGTTCCCATACTGTGGAAGAGCCTTAATGAGACTGTGAGAAATGCACACACCTCCATGGCCTTCAGGAAACTCTGTAAAACCAAATTGTCCAGGAGGGCATTTGAGTGAGGATAGTGGTAAAGTATAGTTGCCACCTTGGATTTTATCATGGGAGAAAAGTGGCCTAAAAGTAGTAGGTAGACAGGCAGACAAGAAGGAAAGGGAAAGGAAAGGAACCACCCTTAGGTTATTCTGAGGATAAAAATGAGAGCCTTCTGTAAATGGCCCTGAGGAAGAGTGGGATACAGATATAATAGATTGTTGAAGATTTCACCTGTCCCCTACATATTTTACAGGAAACATCGAACAGACCGGAGTCTCTGGGGTATAGGCTAAGAATTGTCTTTCACAGGTCCCCAGATTCCTCCAAAGCAGACTAAACTTGCAATGTTCCCTCTAAGCTGTGGAGTCTTGTGAGAAAAATTCTACTTTGTGAGCTCCTGGCATTAAAGTTGTGAGCGAGCGATTTGGCTTCTGCATAAATCAGATTGCTTTGGAGCCATTCTTCCTGAGCTAAGACAAAAATGTGTGAGCTGGAGGCTAAAAATTTGTGAGCTAGCTCACACCAACTCAGCTTAGAGGGAACTATGCTTGCAAGTACATGCATACTTAATATTTTGGTATTCAAGTGGCTCAAGGGGTTAAGACGCTGAACTGCAGGCTGTGGAAGGTCGGTAGTTCAGCAGTTATAGACCCGAGTGTGCCGCATGACAGAGTGAGCTCCTGTCTCTAGTTCCAGCTCCTGCCAACCTAGCAGTTCGAAAGCAAGAAATTGCAAGTAGATAAATAGGTACCACTTCAGTGGGAAGATAACAGCATTCCTTGCACCTTGGTGTTTAGTCATGCCGGTCACATGACCACGGAAACGTCTTCAGACAGCGCTGGCTCTTCGGCTTTGAAACGGAGATGAGCACCGCAACCCTAGAGTCGGATTCGACTGGCTTTTGAGCTAGGGAACATATACCTTTACCTTTTTATCTTAATATTAATACTGCACACATTGTGCAAACTGGCCCTCTTGCCCTTACGAGAATCAAGACTAAGATGCATGGCAGGCAAGGCGGGATATAAATCTAAAATAATAAATAAAATTTATACCTCTTGTGCAGGTTATGATGCAGAAAGAGTGGAGATCTTACCATAGCTGAACCTAGTATTAGGGTTGGTGGTATTTCTTGGACTTAATGGCACCCAAACTGCCAGGCTAGCCATTACTGTACTCCTCGCTTATACTGCTGATAGGGAGATACACCCATGAACAGAAATGGTAGGATTCCTGGAGGCAGTTAATTAGATTCAAGTCCAGTAACACCTTAGAGGCCAACAAGATTTTGGGAATCAAAGTTCCCTTTGTCAGATATCTGAGAGAGGTAGCTTTGACTCTCGAAAGCTTTGTGAGTCTCTAAGGTGTAACTGGACCCATATCCAGCTGTTCTACTGCAGACCAACATGGCTGCCCTCTGAAACTGTCTTTATGGATAACTAGGGAGCAAAGCCCATTGTGGATGGAGACAATGGGCCCCTAGACAGGTAGGGTGGGTGAGTGGGTGGGTGGGGAAAGAAAGCTGGGGAAAGAAAGGAAGAGAGATAGAGAGGAAGGAAGAAGGGGGGGAGGCAGGAGGGGCCGCAGAAGATCCTCCCGTCCATCCGGCTTCCCAGGTGGGCAACGGTGTAGACTTTCCAATTTCCCGGGGGGGGCTGGCAGGTGGGGAAGAGAAGCGGCGCGGGGGGGGGCGTAAGAAAGCCTCCTCCGTCTGTCTGGGTGGGTGCGGGAGGGAAATCGGGCTGTGGCATGGGGCGCATTGCCAGCGCGCCCTCAGACACAGCGCTCGCCTCCCGCCTCCCAGCCCATGGCAGGGCAGTAGCCTTGAGCGGCAGCTGGGCAACACGGCCAATGGCAGCTGGGGAAGCTCCTGACAGACAGCGCAAGCTTCCAAAGACGGTGTGGTGTGCATTTTCTCTCCGCTGCGTGAAGCTGCGTCTGAGGTGGGACGTAGGCGACATGGCCAATGGAAGCCGGGGAAGCTTTTGACGGACAGTTCAGCCGTCGAAACACTGTTGGTGTGCATTTTCTCTCCTCTGCGTGACTCTGCGTCTTATTCAATTATATATAAGGGAGAGATTAGCTTCAAGTTCAGTAGCATCTTAGAGACCAACAAAGAGTTTCAGGGTATGAGCTTTCTAGAGCCAAAGCTCTGTCAGACACAAGACTTTATGGGGACAGTTATTGTCTTTCTTTCTTGAGCACCTCACTCTGATGTTTTTCCCACTTTTCCCCAGGATAATGATGGGCTACTCCTGAGATGGCAAAACAAGACAATGGAAAACTTAATTGAACTGCACAACAAATCTCCAGCGTGGAATGATGAGACCCAGTCCTATGTGCTGAACTTCCATGGCAGGGTGACCCACGCCTCTGTCAAGAATTTCCAGATTGTGCACAGCAATGACCGTAAGTTCCTTAGAATGGGTGGCCCTTGAGAGTGAGTGGCTATTCTCTGGTGTACCCACATGGCTCTAATTTAGGGTGTCCAAGAGGGGTGGATGAAGACTCTTTGCAGCTCTACTCAAAGCAGTGCAGCATAGACGGTGGACAAGGACATCCCTAAACAAACACAGCTGGGAACACTCTGGGGTGCCACAGGGAATCCTGTAGCATGTGCTCCATTCAAACAGAGAGCCAGCAAAGCAGAAGGACAACTTGGACTGGTACCTTCCTTCTGGCATGGTGAGCAGCTCTTGGATTGGGCTGTGCCAGTGGCAATCTACAGTTGAATTTACCCTGGAAGTGAGGCACATCCAGTCCTCAAAGGGATTTTCCTTTCAGTTCACCAAATTGGCTTTCCCGTGTGGCAGGTTTCAGAGAAGGTTCCAAGGTTCCCATTTTTTGTGTGCCTGCAATTGCTATCCTAGATGTGTCCTTAATAAAGATGAGCTCCTGCAGAGAACTGGCAGGAGAGGAGACTTTTCTTCTTACTTCATGGGTAAGCATGTCTATTGTCTACACTGCCACCCATACTGGTCTTCTTCCTTCAGCTGAGAACTGACATGGTCAATGCAGTTTGCACTGCTAGCTTCCCACAGGGAGCAAGAGATTGTCCCAGGAAAAAGAGGTCCTTCCTTTTGCAGAGGTCTTTCCTCGGGTCTTAGTGATGCACAGCACCACACGAAGCACAGGATGCTGCTATTGGATATAGCCAGTATAAAAGTGGGGCTGCAGTCCTCCGAAACAGAGTGGCAGGTGTCTAACCAACCATGGACTTCACAGAGCAGCTTCCCCTCCTGCTGCCACCCGCTGAACCCTGAAAAATATTGTTCCGTGGGGAATCAGCAGTTTTTCAGGAACAAAGTGGGGGGCAAAGCAGGCGTCTGCATTGGGAAGGGGGAAATCTACATAACCTCTTCTGTAAGTGGAAATACTGTTCCGACAGAGGAACTGCATGGTTGGATACAGGCCACTGACTTATAAGTAAGTTGGCTTATTTTGTCAGCCACTTCAGGCAGGTTTGCTGGAGAGGAAGGACATTTTTTTTTCTAAATAAACAAGTTCAATTGAAGGTGGTGGTACATGTTTCAAAGTCAGAGGTTGGATCCTACAATTCCCTTCCACTAAATGAGGGGGTTTACTCTGGAAGAAGGAGTCTTTTCCTCCAAAACAAGGTTCTTCCTTCCTCTGAAAGAAGACTCTTCACTTCATAGAAAGGAGTTGTAGAATCCTACTCTACGAGGGATGGGTTCAAATGGCCATTGCTCTCCTGTGTTTATGCAATATTTAGAAGTATTTTATGCCCCCAGTGGTAACATGCACAGAAACGGAGTGCATGTTCCAAATTATAGATCAGTATATATTTAACAAACCACAGTACTTCTTTTTGCGATCTGTAAATGGTTATCATTGCATGGGAATGCACAGAATTTACAACAAAACCTCCCGAAGCAGCCAAGTTCTTTAGAGAATTTTAGAGGACAGCAAGGCATGACTGGGAGGGCAGCAGCCTCACATATTATGATGCTATTTGGTGAACCCTGAAGTTCTTCCGCTGTCATATGATAACGATCCAGTAGAGGGAGCAGGAGGGTAGTCAACAGATGACAAGGAGAGATTTGAGGTGATTTGCTGGGCACATTGGATCCTGAAAAGAGTCTGGAGTTTTTGTTTTGTTTCTTAGGATGGCAGCTCCTCCTAGGTGAGGCACTTGTACAATGTGAAGACTGCACATTTCTGCTTACTTCACTGGTTCCCAAAGTGGGCAATACCGCCCCCTCGGGGGCACTGGAACGATCCGGGTAGGCTGGAATGATCCAAGTGCAGATCCACAAATGGCATCTTTTTGTCCACTTCTTGAAGATAGATGTCCAGGGGGGCACTAAGTAATCTTTTTCTGAAAAGGGGGCGGCAGGCCAAATAAGTTTGGGAACCTCTGCGTCTATATAATATTAGGCTACATTCAAAATCTGTCAATATGTCAATATGTATCCTCCAGTTAAAAACATTTGCTCTGAATTTCCCATTGGGCAAGAATAACTTCCAGGGGGAAGGGGAAGAGAGAGCCAGGTGGCAATGACTGCACTGATGCTACTGGAGAGAGATACACACATACTGTTAGTCTTGTTTACCCAAATAAGATTCAGAGGGTTTTATCACAGAGTTGCTATCCTGAGATAACACAACCCCTGTCTACACAAACTAGGCATTCCAGGAAGTTTCAGCTACCCTCCGTTACTGTCAAACATTGGGTCATTCACACAGGTGACGGGAATTCCAGAGGGGTAGCTGTGTTAAGACTGTTGCAACAAAAATAAACAGCATTATTCTGGCACTTTAAATACAATCTTATTCCAGCATAATTTAGATCCTAGTCCAGAGTTATTGTTAGTCTTTAAAATGTCTGTTGTCGGCTGAAAGGGCTTATATGCAAGGGACTATGAACACCTTTCAGAGAGAGCAACTGTGCTGTCGTTTACTTGATCACTTGCATATACACATAAAGCTACCTTATACTGATGGAGACTCTTGGCCCATCAAGGTCAGTGTTATCTACTTAGACTGGCCTTCGCTCTCCAGAGTCTCAAACAGAAGTCTTTCACAACACCTATGACCTGATCCTTAACTGGAGATGCTGGGAATTGAACCTGGGACCTCCTGCATTGCCAAGTAGATGAGGTCACAGAGGCCCCAATTCTGCAAGGGAACACTGATTCTCTTGCAGTTCTCTCCGGCTTCTGATTAGTGCCTTGAATGGGCAACATCAGATGCCGAAGTTCATTTAAGAGGTTGTAAGCAGTGTTGAAGCACTAGGCAGAAAAAGTAAAATTAAGACTCACCTCTTCTTCCTCCTTCCAGAAAGCATATATCAGGGCCACATCTATCCCAAGACTCAAACTACATCATCCAATGAGCTCAGAAACACCCAGCATGCGTCCAGTTTGGCTTGTTTCTTGGGTCAAACTAAACATTACCGTGTCCTTGGGTCCAACCCATGGATGCCAACACCATGTTAATTTGGCCATTTAAAAAATGCTGAGAGCGGTGCTGCCGGACCAGATGATCCTGTGTCATCCCCCACCCCAGACACCTTTTTAAGTGCCAAAACAGCCCTGCAGAAGGGGAAACTAGATTGTCTAGTTCTGTCACACCATGGGCCTTATCAGGATCAGGCCCTCACACCATTTTTAAATAGCCGAATCCTTCTCTAAAATAGCAACAGTATCCATGGGTTGTACCTGTAGATGTTGTGACATTTAGTTTGGCACTTAGTGAGATCTCTTTAGAAATCAGATAGCATGAACTGACTGACTGAGAATCCGGGCTCAAGACCCTGGGCTGTGAGTTTTCACTGTGTTCATGTTGGTGATTGATATAACAACTCTAGTACTATCAGACAATAAAATATATGGAACGGACATCTTCCTCAAGAGTGCTGGACTGTGGGCACTGTGGAATCCACCTCAGCCCAGCGAACAGAAGCAGCAAAGCAGTTTTGCAGAGGCTGTCTGGTTGTCACCTGTCCAGCCCAATCAGGAGATGTTACTGTCTGGAGTGTAAGGTTACAGGACAGAAAGAACCTGCTAGGGGCCCCAGTTATTTTTACAGATTTCTTGTTACCCTCACTTGTAACAAAGGGAGTCACGGCCGGAACAGTAAGTCAGATAGAGTTCTAGAATGCCACAAATGCTTTGGTGAGGAATTCTGGTGAGGGGGCAGTTCTCTTGGGGGAGGCAGCACATATTGCTTCTTCTGCTCTGTCACCCAGCTGGAAAAAGAAATATTCTTACTTGATAGCTCTGTTGAGGAAACAGTAGTTCGTTGCTCAGCAGGTGGCTGGTCACCTCCTGAACTCTGCTACGGCTCTTTCCTTTCCCCTTCATGGCTTCCTCTCCTTAGCATTTGAATAGGAGGCTACTGAATAAAAATGCTTTGTTCAGCTTCATATTAGCAACACTGCTTTGACACTGGAAGAAGAGATACAATCCATATAGTCAAAACAGTTCACTCAAGACAAGACTGGAAACACTGGAAAGGTTCCTCAGGTGACAATATTACCTAAGCACCTTAGATCCAGCTCAGATGAGTAGAGGGAACTACTCCGTTTTCTGTTAAAGCCAGAAATGCAGCAGGGGGCTGATAAACACATGAAGCTGCTTTCTGCTAAATCAGACCACAGGCACATCTATTGTCTACTATGATTGGCAGAGGCTGGTTCTCCAGGGTCTCTTGCAGAAATATATCTTTCCTAAAGCCAGCTACCTGTGGATGCTAGGAATTAAATCAGGGACCTTCAACATGCAAAGCTCGTGCCCCACCACTGAGCTATGACACCTCCCCATAGATGTGGGAATAAAGGTAGTTTCTTTCAACTATTCTGTAACTCCCCCTCCTGAAAGCAGGTCATTGACATGGGTTGGCATCAGTAAGAATTCAAGTACATTTCCACAAGTTCTTTCTGGAAGACCACTAGCACTCTTTTAGTACAACCAACTTTTGTGAAGTCTGATTGATAGTATTTGGGCCCATGCTGGTTCACCGCTTGTATGCACCACACATGAGAGTTATTATGGAGCCCACAGCGGTGATGTAGTCTATGTTCAGGTAGGCAAAGAGCTTTTCCATGTTGCATTGTCCCTGCATTTAGGATGGTGATGCAGCTTTTCTTTCCCAAATGATTAGCGCTAAAGCAATTGATCAGGAGCAGAGTGACATTCCTGTGCAGAGGTAAACTTTGGTACCATAATCTAGTACTTTCCCTCCATTTGCCTGTGCTGAATTAGACAGAGAGAGAAGCAAAAGCTGTCATTACTGTTGCTCTTCCTATAGGATTAAAGCAGAACCTGTTCTTGATAATCTCCTGAACTGATAGTGTCTTATCCCTTTTCTTATAGTTGACTACATTGTCATGCAGTTTGGCCGGGTATCTGATGATGCTTTTACCATGGACTACAACTACCCACTTTGTGCAGTGCAAGCTTTTGCCATTGCCTTGTCTAGCTTTGATGGGAAGTTGGCCTGCGAATAGCACTCCTAGGATCCTGTAACACCCAGGGTGTACTTCATCGGGGGCAGCGTGGCAAGATTCCTTCTCTTTGGAATGGCTCCTGCAGACAACCATTGGCTTGATGATACAAGGCAACAGAGATGCTGTGGATCAGGAACAGCCTCACAAGTGTATTACTAAATGCTGGCAAAGCACAACTGGATATGGCTTCTGAAGAAATCCTGGCAGAATCAGTAAACATGAATCCTTATACACAGAGTACGGTTTAACTGGCTCTGTCATGTGCACATACATGTCTCTGGCACAGGCCCTTCTGTGAGAAATAATTATGAACCCCAGAAAACAGCTGCTCTAAGCTGTGGTGTCTTGGACCGTGACTCAGAAACTATAGCATTTGTGTTTTCTTTGTTAATTTACTCACTCCTAAGGGATCTGCAACCAGCTAATGGTCTCAGACTATCAAATAGTCACTTCCTGCATACATAACAGCTGAGGCTAGCATTGGTTTGATACTCTGAATCCCAGAAACATTTGTATTGCTTAGATTCATCGGGGTGGAGTGGGGGTGGGGGTATTTGGTAATTTACAATTTAAGTGAAAGGGAAGTTTTTTCCCCCCTCTACTGTTAATGAACAATAAATGAGCAACTGGTAGGAAAAGCTCCTATTGGTTGTCCCTTTAGAAATCATGGCCTGCCTAGCTCTGGAAGGCTGTCAATAAGTTGCTTTTTAGAGGTCTAATGAATTTAGAGGCGGATTTGCTGAACTGCAGGCTGTGGAAGGTCGGTAGTTCAGCAGTTCGAGACCCGAGTGTGCCGCATGACGGAGTGAGCTCCTGTATCTAGTTCCAGCTCCTGCCAACCTAGCAGTTCGAAAGCAAGAAATTGCAAGTAGATAAATAGGTACCGCTTCAATGGGAAGGTAACAGCGTTCCGTGCACCTTGGTGTTTAGTCATGCCATCCACATGACCACGGAAACGTCTTCGGACAGCGCTGGCTCTTCGGCTTGGAAACGGAGATGAGCACCGCAACCCTAGAGTCAGATTCGACTGGCTTTCGAGCAAGGGAACCTTTACCTTTACCTTGCTGCTCTTGATGACTTACTTTAAATACCAACAACTGATGCAGAAGGACGGTGCAAAGAAATACCTCCTATATTTATTACCCAGGAAGCCCCACATTTTACTGTCTGACTATAGAGCAGTAAGATGCAGATGATAATTTAGACAGTCGTTTTTTAGCTTATGGGAGTGACTTGATTTACAGAGAGTCGAACATGAATAGGACAACTACATGCAGACCAAGGTTTTCAGTGTATGTGTCATGTTTGTGGAGAGCTTTTCTGAACAGCGATTTCAGTTCCAAACCCACTCATTAACAAAATTACCTGATATTATCTTCCTCAGAGGATTCCCATCTGTTTTGTTTTTGAAAATCCATCTAGCCACTCTTTCACTTGCAGCTGCTGGATGACCTTGGGCAAGCCATAGTTCTGTCACAGCTGTTCTCTCAAGGACAGTTCTGGAAAGAGCTCTCTCAGCCCCGCCTACCTCACAGGGCATCTGTTGTGGGGAGGAGAAGGGAAAGGAGTTTGTAAGCCACTCTGAGACTCTGAGTGAAGGGCAGGGTATAAATCCAATCTCTTCTTCTTGTTGTTGCATTCAATGTTATCATATTGTTTTTATCAAACTTTAAGCAAAATATAGCCCAAGGTAGCCTGATCTCATTAGATCTTGGAAGCTAAGCAGGGTCAGCCCAGGGAAGTATTTGAATGGGAGACCTCCAAGGAACACCAGGGTCATGATGTGGAGGCAGACAATGGCAAACCACCTCTGAATGTCTCTTGCCTTGAAAACCCTACAGGGTTTGCCATACGTTAGCTGTGACTTGACAGCACTTTCCTCCACCAGAGGTCCTTGGCCAAGGGAAATTTACAACATGAAATTGGACAGGAGAAGGGGGAAAGAAGCAAGGATAATACAGGATGAATGACAGCAAATGCTGTTGCATTGATTTCATTTGGGGATGAGGACTGAGTAAGACAAAGGTTTGATGGAAGAGGCAGGGCTTGAGGAGGGAATAGAAGGATGAGAGAATTGCAGAGGTGCTGCAGTGGTGATATAAATGGCTGCCTTAAAGTACAAAGTGATGCCTGAAAAGGGACAGCCATCTCAAGCATCTTTCTCAGTTCTGAAAATAATTTCTGCACCCTTGGACTGTCAACCAGGCCTTATGTGAACCAAGGAATTTTTGTTTGGGGCTCAAGCTTGCCTTGTGCCCATACAGACGTTATTAACAGACATTTTTGTACTATAAGAACAAGATTTCAGGCATACTTGGAAGGGGGGAAGTGATAAAGTGCCTACATACGGACAGATTTCCATTGGGGTAACTGAAATTAGACCTTCTACTGACATACATTACCTAACCCCCCGCCCCTTTACAGCCATCCACATGAGTAGTAGCCATCATGTGGCAGAAAATCCTATCAACCATTTACTTATATCATCTTGCACACTTGTTAATCTTGCTCTACTTATTCCCCATTTTTAAAATTATTCTGCACATCCATTTTTTTTTTTTAAAAAAATAGGTTATTACCTGTGCTATGCCCTTAGGTTATATGGCAGATTAGAAATGTAAAGAATAACACCCAAATGGAAGAAAGTCACTATTAGTCCTCTTGTTGTACAAATCCATCAGCAATGATTAGGCTCTTCCATCCTTCACACTAAACGGGGTTAGATCGAGCCATTTCTTGGCTGAAGAAGGCCATCAAGAGAAGAAGGCATCAGGAGGAAGGCCGGGCTGTTTCAGGAAGTGCTTACTGACAGTGACTCAGAAGGTGTGGTGCTCTGAGGGTTGTTTCATAACACCTTGCGAGAGTATCGATGAGGTTCATGACACTTTTGCAGATGACATGGGAGGACCTGTCCTCATAGGAGTTCTTGTGATGGTTTTAATGTAGGAATAGGTGGGCTTAAATTTGGCTGGGGCATTGGGATTAAGAAACAAGAACTCCTCTTCCTTCTAGTTTTCAGTTGGACAGAACAAGAGCCTTCACTTCCTGTCCTGATGTCTTTATGTGGTGTGCCTGTGGGATGTTAGATGTCTTCCAAGTCATGATGAATCATACCAGTAGGTGTGGAAGGAAGGCTGGAAAATGTTTTGTACATGTGAGCTGTAATTAATTGTTATTCTTATTCTTATTAATTAGCAATGGGTTGGAGAAGACACCTAGCAGGCAGAGAGTAAAGTTTCTGGCCTCTTTC